AGGTTCTCGGCGCCCGGCCTGCGCCCCGCCTTCGGCCGCGCGCCCGGGGCCGGCGACAGCTCCCCGCGCCAGCGCCGCCGCGACCAGGCCTTCTTCGCCGACTTCCAGCGCCTGCTGGGGGTGGCCGTGCGCCGCGACGCCGGCCTGCCGCCCTCCGTCTGCAACAAGTGTCATGCCCAGTTCTACAAGTGCCGCGGCCTGCTCAAGACCTTCCTGCAGCGCGTCAACGCCGCGCCCCGCGCCCGCGCCTGCACCCCGCACCAGCCCCCACACAGGTGCAGTGCCGCGCCGCGCCGCGCCGCTGTGCGCGTGCATGGGGCCAGGGCCGCGTCGTACCTGTTTGTGTGTACGTGCGCGCACGTGCATGCAAGCGCATACATGGCCAAGGAGCACGTTGCCGTGTGCGTGCATGTTTATGCGTGTGTGCATGTGGACGACGAGTGCATTGTCACGCATACATGTTTGTGCACACGTGAGTGCAAGCGCATACATGGCCGAGGAGCACGTTGCTGTGTGTGTGCATGTTTGTGCGTGCGTGCACATGGACAAGGAGCACGTTGCCGTGTGCGTGCGTGCACATGGACAAGGAGCACGTTGCCGTGTGCGTGCATGTTTGTGCACACATGAGTGCAAGCGCATACATGGCCGAGGAGCACGTTGCTGTGTGCGTGCATGTTTGTGCGTGCGTGCACATGGACAAGGAACACGTTGCCGTGTGCGTGCATGTTTGTGCGTGCGTGCACATGGACAAGGAACACGTTGCCGTGTGCGTGCATGTTTGTGCGTGCGAGCACATGGATGAGGAGGGCGTTGTCATGCATACATGTTTGTGCATACACGTGAGTGCAAGCGCATACATGGCCGAGGAGCACGTTGCTGTGTGTGTGGTCGTTTGCGTGCGCACGTGCACGTGGCGTTTTCAGCGTCTGTTTTAGCATCCGCACGGCCAAGGGGAGATGTGGTTTCCCACCAGGCTTCGCTGCTCTGCCCCAGCCCTGGGCAGCAGCGCTTGGTCCTGAGGAGGCTGGAGCTGGGCTGGTCTCGGTGGGGGCGGACGGCAGGACAGGGAGCAATGGGCTCTTGTTGCAGCAAGGGAAGTTGTGGTTGGAGATTAGGAAGATTTTTCTCACTAGGAGGGAGGTGAAGCCTGAAACAGGCTCCCCAGAGAGGTGGTGGACGCTCCATCCTTGGAGGTTTTTAAGCCCCAGCTCAACAAAGCCCTGGCTGGGATGATGTAGTTGGGGCTGGTGCTGCTTGGAGCAGGGCTCGGACTCGATGTGACCTCCCCAGGTCCCTTCAACCTTCACTTCCTATGCGTTGCTTCTCTCTGGTGTGTAGGAGCAGTGACGTCCAGGCCCAGCCGGGGACGGAAGAAGGAGCCTCCTGTCTGGGTAAGTGCCAGGCTTCCCCGTGTCGGGGCAGACCCCAGGGGCCCTGGTGGGTTTTCCCCGGCGTTCAGCAGTGACCCTCGGGGTCATGAGGTGTCGGCTCCTGGGGCCCGGGCAGCATCACCGGAGGGGAGGAGAGGGCTGGCTGGAGACGCGCTGAGGCCCCCGAGCTGTGCCCTCCCTGTGCTGGCTGGTCGGAGGGGTGGTAGCACCAGCCCGGGAGGCCGACCACACTGATGCTGATCCCTCTCCGCAGTGGACCTGATCACGTCCACCCCCCAGTGCCTGCACAGCCTGGTGACGTGGACCCACACCCACGCTGGGGGCTGCCCATCAGTGCCAGCTCTGCAGAGCGTGCTGTCGTCTGAGTACTGCGGGATCATCCGCGCTGTGTGGGGTTGCGGCGATGGGCACGACTACGTCATGGACATGGACTCGGACTGCAGCACCGTGCTGGTGGATAACGCCTTGGCCGTGAAATGGGAGTGGGACAAAGGCGCAGCCCAGCGCCTGACGGACAACGGGGCCGGGACGGATGCGGCTCCCACGCCCCAGCAGGCCCCTGCGAGGACGGCGGTTTGCCAGGTGCCAGGAAGCAAAGGGGCTGCAGCGGCACCGAGCTCGGAGACCCCGACGTCACAGAGCGGGGATTCATCTCGCGCGCAGCTGGATGGCGTGGCCTCTCTGCAGGAGAAAACACTGCCCCTGGCGGCCTCTCCGCTGAGCGGTGCCCCAGGTAAGTGCTTGGCCTAAGTTGCAGCCCTCTGCCCTTGGCAGCGCTGGGTCCTCCAGGGTGGCACCTGTGCCAGCAGGAAACTTGCAGCAGGCAGGTCCCAAAACACATGGAGAAGAGAAGGGGCAGGGGGTCTAGGCATGGGGCTGGGTGTCAACTCTACAGGTGCCAAGCATGGCTCTGCCACCACCTCGCTTCCCAACCTCAGGTAAGTTCCTTTGCCCCCGCTCCCCTGGCTGCAGAAGGGGATGAGACCTGCCTGGTCCCCAGGGGCTCAAGGTGGAAAGTGCTGCCCGAGCCCTGTGGGGAAAAACAGGTGCTGTGTCAGTGAGCGGCTCGTCCCCGTGCCCAGGCCCCACCCTGTGTTTGGGCCGGTGTCTCACCGTCTCGCTCGCAGTCCTCCGGGAAAAGGGCTGTGTTTGGGAAGGTTACTTCCCTCCCACAGCTTGGGGCCACTGCCCTGTCCTTCATTTGAATCACTCAAACGCGAGTCTTGGAGTGGCTGCGGGCTGCCCTGCCCTCCCCCTTGCAGCGACTCCCCTTGGAAGGCTGTGGGGAAACATCTGGTGCAGCTCCAGGGCTGGATGAAGAGTAGCGGGTCGGGCACCTTTAATCCCCTCTCCCTCCTCCCATTGCCCTTGTTAACCCAGGCTGGGCCAATCCCAGGGACGGGAGCGACCCCACTCAGTGTCCTGCACCGTGCTCCCAAACCTGCTGAGATGCCCGGTTGCTAGCAACAGGAAGATGCCATTGAAGGCTCAATTTCAAACATGCCACAGCCATGTGCTGCTGCTGGCTGGAGCCGGGGGCTGGGGGGCGGGCTGTGGAGGGATGCAGGAGAAGGGGAAACCCCACATGGTCTCCACAGCCCAGGAGCTAAAGCCTCGGCCAGCGGAAGGGGTTGGTTTGGTCCTGCATCTCTTTTATGTAACAAGCTGCCACAAGGAGTTTCTCCAGCGCGGCCTTCTCCGCAGCCATCCTCGCGGGCTCAGCTGCTGCCGTGCACGTGTAACATGCGGTGTTCTCCTTCCTTTCCTAGGACAGTTGAGTGGGAAGCAGGTTCTGTCTCCAACGTCGGATGAGCGGGTAAAAGACGAGTTCAGTGACCTTTCTGAGGGGTGAGAGAAGAGTGGGTTTAACACAGCTTAAATGTCTTTGCAAGCATGAGACTGCTCGGCCTAGGGGTGTCCTCCCTCCGCAGAGCGGTCTGCGCCCCTTGTTCCCGGACCCACACAGCGGTTTCTTGGTAGCAGGCGTGCCAGCAGCTCCTTAGCTGATGTGCTGGATTCACCCCTCTGGCTGCTCGCGACGCCCCAGTCTGATGTTTGCATAGTGTTGCTTGGTTTCCCTTTCGATGGTGCTTGAAATCCCTTCTAGAGGCAGATGCTTTCAGCAGCTCCTGAGAGAGTTTCCAGCAAAACAGATCCTCTGCGTCTCTCAAGGACCTTCCGCTCTGAAAAATACTAGCCTGCTCTTGCCCGGCTTTGTGCTGGGTTGAGCCGTAGCTGCTGCTCTGCTCCACAGCCAGTCCTGAAGCCTTGTCTGGCATCTCTGCCACCCTCCTAGCTCCTGTAGGTCTGGATCCTGGTGGTGCTCATTAGTGAAGATGCCCACAGCAGAATCCAGCAGGCTGCGCTTCCAGAGAAGCCTTGGCTCCTCTTACAAGAGGACACATTTCCCGTGGGGTTCCTAGGTGGCGGTCAGGTTTGCTTAGAGCCTGTCGTCTTCTCCAGTCCATCAAACCACACGGGTCAGTGGAAGAGACTTGGGCCAAATTCTCAGAGGCAGGTTCTGAATCTGGAATGAGCGTCCAAGGGGGGTGGTGCTCTCCCCTGCCTTGCGGGTCTTTAAGAGGAGGCTAGACATGCACCTGCCCCCAGCTGACCCCAGTGCTCTTTCCTGCCCGGGGCAGGGGGTCGGGCTCGACGATCTGCTGAGGTCCCTTCCGACCCTAGCATCTATGAAACAAAACTGCATCTGGGGCTATTTGACGTTGATGTTCCAGGTCAAAGGTCTGGTGCTGCCTTTGGCAACCTTCGACTTCAGGCCCTTAGTGAAACATGTTAAATAGCGATGTAAAAGATGCCACTGGGTTCTTTGGCCTCCTGAATTAATTACTTCTGTGCACGTAATTAGCACAGAAAGCCCCAACATACATAAGTGCAGTCAGGAAGGAGACATTGAAGAACAACGGCCTCACGGTCTTGCTCCGTGCAGGTCACCCGTCCCGGCTCTTCCAGGAAAGGCTGGTGGTGGAACTGCCAGATTTTCTCATTAAAACATCCAGATTATTCTTATGGGGCTTTAGTTTTGGGAGGAACTCGTCTGGTAGCTTCCTGTGTTTTGTGGGGGGGAGGGTTGTGTGCACTGAGGCTGTAGCAGAGAAGCTTTTTGCAGCCCTGGTTGCTGTGACTTCCTGCCAGGGAGACAAATGCATTAGCGCGGTGAAGAATGAATGATGAGACCAGAGCATCCAAGCGCCGGGCGCTGGCCAAGCCCTGCTTGAGTAAAGCGCCTGTTCTTTTTCTCAGAGACTTCTTGAGTGAAGATGAAAACGATAAGAGAAACGCACCGTCTTCAGACGATTCCTTTGAGCCTTACTCAGAAAAGAAGTAAGGGCCTTTCTTGTCTCTGCTAAAGGTGAACATGGTTCTGGTGCCTTTGTCCATGGACTAGGTGTGGCATGGGCTTCCCCTGCCCCCAGGGAAGGGCGCTTCGCAGTCAGCCTTGGGATTTGAGCTCCCCACAGACCGCCACCCTCTCCCCCGTCTGTCAGCAACTAGAGCTGCTGTGCCTTAGCCTCAGTTCATCAGTCATAGGCCCTATTCCCCACCACCAGTCCCATGTGCAGTGCACTGCCAATTCTGTCCCACCCTGGCTGCAACGAGCTTATGTTTCTTCTCTGTCCTCTGAGCCATGCTGCATTGTGAGTTAAAAGGCAGCACTGCCAATATGTCACCATTAATACAGTCCTCCAACGCAGTCTCATTCACCTCTCATCCCTGTTCCTTCCTCAAGGGGGTCTAGCAAAAAGAGTGAAAGCAAAGATGCAAAGAAGGCAGAAGAGCCGAAAATAAGGAAGAAGCCAGGGCCCAAGCCAGGCTGGAAGAAGAAGATCAAGTGTGAAAGGTAACAGAGTGGAGGTGTGAGGGGGGCAGCCCGGTGAGGTTGACTCGGTCTCACGGTGGCGATTTTCTGCCTTTCAGAGAGGAGCTGCCTACCATTTACAAGTGTCCTTACCAGGGATGCACGGCTGTGTACAGAGGGGCCGACGGCATGAAGGTAAGTCGAGAAGAAAGCATCTGGCTTGTGCTGACTTGCATGGCAGGGGGTGCTCCTGCTAGGTATTGAAAGGTGCAGGAGGTCTCTCCTGTCAGCAGAGGATTAGGACCAGTGTAGAAGCTGCCCTCCAGCTCTCAGCTGGGCGTCAGCCCCTCGCTCCCAGCCTAACAGCACGGGTGAGTGATCTTGTGTAATTGTGCATCTTTGCTCAGTCTTTTGTTGCATGCCTCATCCTCCGTCCCAATGGCCACCCATTCGCCTGCAGGTAATGGGCTGCTTGGTACTGAACGGCTGTGGGAATCAGGCTCCTCCACTACAATCCCTAGAGAAGGGCTCAGCCTTCAGGCCTGCTGCAACTGACAGCTCCATGCTGGCACCTGTCACTTGTAGCAAGGCTGGAGCCCACGTGTAGGCTGCCAGGAGAGGCGGCGGTAGTGCCCACTCTGCCTTGGGGCTTGCCCTGTGGGGAGGGATGCTGTGGCATGCTCTGGAAAACCCACTCTGGACTTTCAGAGGAGTCCCCAAGAGTCTCCCTTGGTCCTTGTCTTTAGAAACACATAAAGGAGCATCATGAGGAGGTTCGGGAGAGGCCCTGCCCGCACCCCGGGTGCAACAAGGTGTTCATGATCGATCGGTACCTGCAGCGCCATGTGAAGCTCATCCACACAGGTATGTCTGTCCTTACCCGGCCTCCTCACCTCCGTCCCTACCTGAGTGGGCACAAATAAGCCTCTGCTGTGCCACCACATGAGAGAAACAAAGGGATGGCTCCAGTTTCAGCTGGGGAAGGAGCTGTGAAAAGCTGCTGGCGTGGGGCCTGTTAGCAGTGCCTGCAGCCCCATCACTGCTCTCATTGCAGAGGTACGCAATTATATCTGTGACGAATGTGGGCAGACCTTCAAGCAACGCAAGCACCTCTCAGTCCATCAGATGCGCCACTCGGGAGCAAAGCCTCTCCAGTAAGTGCCCCTCGCATGTCCTGGCATGTACTGGTGGGGGAGGGAACAGGAGGTAAATGAATAGGCAGCATCAGTGTCAGCAGCTGGCCCCAACTAATGCTGGTTCCTGCTAGTTTTTTCATGCACATCTGGTCACTAAGCAGGAATGGGTCTGTCTGGCTTCATTAAGAACCTAGATTTTGACTCAAGACACCTTTGGAAAATGCCAGCTCTTAATTTTCCTTTTTTAAATTGAAGAAAAATAATTGAGCAGTTTTTCTGTTGCAAAGAACTCAGAAAGACCTCAGCTGTGGGTTCCTATTTGACATTTCTGGGTTTTTCTTGTGCATCAGGTTTGCCCACCGAACAGTGCTAGCACCCGGGTCTTAAAGGGATCTCATGGCACCCTGGTTGAAAAACAAACAAAAAAAATCACTGATTTGGCAAATAGCCAAGATGAAGAGGCAGCATCTGTGCTGCCCATTAGTCAGGGAAGCAGAGGACCGTTGCTTATGTGAAAGCCACTTAGAAAAGCCTCAGGGTAGGTGATGCTTTGGATCCACTTCTCTTGCAGCAGTCACCGTGAGAGGTGTGGAGTTCTCCACAGCAGAGAACCCCCAAGAGGAAGAGACAGTTCTGCCTGGGGGTTGACAATTAATGTGGATTTCTGGTTTCTGAAAGCAGGAGGAAGGGCTCCGGACCCAGATCTCTCTAAAGCTAGTTTGAACCATCCTGGGCCATTTAGGCCCCACGGTTCCTGGAAAGCGGGGTCTTCACACTTCTGCTTCCCGTGCTAGGAAGCGTAGCAATCGCTGCTTCCCGCCCCCCCGGGAAACGGGAACCGGTCGCAGTCTGCACCAGATGACAAGTCCTCTTATGCTGGTCTGACATGTCAGAGAGTCGCTGGCTTTTGAGCTGCCTTTTACCCCAGCCCTGCAGCGTTCCCTTTGGGCTTGATCCCCTCCCTCCTTTGTTCTGCCTGAGCTCAAACACGTTGAGTACGGAGCTGCTCTTGTACCCTTCCCCTGCAGTCTTGGTGGCTCTAGTGGATGGTGTCAGCCACCACCAGGGATGCATGGGGCAGATGGGTTTTTTTAATTCAGTTTCTGCTCTTCAGTCAGGCAGGCAGAATCTGCTTCCCAACATGTGACAACCCCCAGCGGCAGCATTTGGGGCCCTTGTACTGTTGCTCATGCAGTGTCTTGCCTTCCAGGTGTGAAATCTGTGGCTTCCAGTGCAGGCAGCGGGCGTCTCTCAAATACCACATGACCAAACACAAAGCAGAGGCAGAGCTGGAGTTTGCCTGCGACCAGTGCGGGAAGCGCTTTGAAAAGGCCCACAACCTGAACGTCCACATGTCCATGGTGCACCCCCTCACCCAGAATCAAGACAAAGCCAAGCCACTGGAGCCGGAGCAGATCCTCCTCTTGAATGCTACGGGGACTGCAGAGAGCCAGGCGGTGAAGCCGGAAGTGACTGCCCAACAGGAGCCCACCTGAAGGGCAGCTGGGTGTCCTGGATATCTGGCTTTGTAGAAACCGTACTGCAGCGTGGGGATTTCTCATCGACATTTCACTAGTCTCCAAAAGGACTCGGGGGAACTCGCTTCAGCTTGCTCGGGAAAAAAAAACAAAACAAAAAAACAAGAAAGCTTTGACCATGCTGTGATTCTCCGTGCTTCTGTCTGATTCAGCAGTGTCGTCCTAAGCAATCACCGTCTAATCTAAGGAAGCCAGGGGTTCAGTCCCCCTCCACCCACAGGCTGATCCAACCCCGTCGTGCTGCCCCTGGGACGTAGCTGCACAAACCACAGGCCCCTCCGGCGCTCCCCGGCAGGTGGCGTTGAGGGTCCAGGGGGCCACGAGCGACTCCATCAGATCTGGGTTTTAAATGATCACGATTCCCAAAGTCTAAAATTTGTAACCGACTTTTTATTGTAACGAGAGCTTCATGGTTATGCTTGTAATAAATTATTTACAGAGGAAATCGGAACCCAGCCGTCCTGGTTGCAAGGGGGAGGAGCTGGCCGGCCCAGCCGCTCTGGATTCCAGAAGCTGCGTCTTGCTAGACCCTCATCTCTGCGGCTGCAGGGCCAGATTCATGGCCCGCAAGCCCCACTCAGAAAAGATCTGGGCCATCATGGTACTCCAGGTCAGCTGCAGGCTTCGAGTAGTGCAAGAGAGCAGCTGTCATCTCTGGGTCGAACTCTTCGCAGAGGTCCAGGAACTGGGGGGGAAAGAAGCTGGTATTAGGGGCTCATTGCTGCTTCAGAGAGAGAGCCAAGATCAGTGCCAGGTCATGCTGCCTGCCAACAGCTGAGGTGTGCCTCTGCTGGGGACAGGACTGGTACTGACTCAACTGAGCAGGGGGTGTTAATGTTTGAGGAGAGCCACACCATGGGACACGCAGAGGCTGCGGTTCAAGTGAGCCTGACACTTCCCGCAGCTCTTAAGCACAACGTGGTAAGAAAGTACAAATGTCACTTGAACAGGCAGAGCCTGCTAGAGAGGACGGGAGCTTACAGTGCTGCAGGGGCGGCCTGTCCTCAGGCAGGTGATGCCATGCGCTTGGGGAACTGGGCAGGGTCAGTCTTGTAAGGAGGACAAAGGGGTGTATACGTGCGGGCAGCAAGCAAGACATGCAGCCCCCAGGCTGAAAGGGAGGGGGAAGACCCCCACATACCTGGTGCACATTTGTAAAGCTCTTCCTGGGGCACCGGGGGATTGAATGAAGCAGGAACTGCCGCGCCTTTGTTATTGCTTCTAAAGAATCCACCTGGGGAAGAGGTTGGGTTCAGGATCACGACTGCAAGCACAGGGCACTGCCTGTTGCTGCACAAGCTGTCTGCATACCGGCCCTCCCCGCTACACCCTGGCTGGATCCCTATACCACAGGCGCACCTGAAAGGGTGCTCTAAGCTCCTGTGCTAGTGCTGCTGATGGGAATCTGTTTGACATCAGTCCCTGCAGGCTGTTAGTGCCCCGCTGAGCTGAGCACTACCCACGTCAACTGCATTGGCCATTTTGGAGAGTCAATATTTGTGTAGGGCAGTGAGAGGAGGGAGGCCTACTGTAGCTACCAGGGAGGGGCAACAGGCCTGGCTGGCTGGAAGGGAATGGACCACGACCACCACTCACGGGGTTTGCAGCATGCACGCTTTGTGCCTCTTGGTCTGATCCAGGAGCGTTCCCACCGTCGACGAAGAGCCGAAGGAGCTGAATATACGAGTCAACGACAACAGCAAGGAAGCCGGGCTCTCGCACAAACAGCTCCTGGTGAAAGCCGGGGATGAGGCTAGAAGGAACCATAGCAACAAGTGTGAGCAAAAGGTTCCCTTAGCGTTCACTCTCCCCCTTCGCTTTAACGCATGAGAGAGGCAATGGCTGAACTGACCCAGCATTTCCACTGCCTCCCCTGCAAAAGCTACGACAGCAAACACCCATCCGTGAGCACCCCGAGCTGTGCTGAACAGCTGTAACGAGGGATTCCACAAATCCTAACTGGTGAAAACATCACTGAGCAAAGGTGTC